GGCGCCGACCGCCGCGCCCCCCCTCGCCCGCGAGAGTCCCCCCCCCTCCTCGGTTGTCCTCCCCTCCTCGGTCCCTCCTCCTCCTCGGTCGCCCTCCCTCCTCCTCGGTCGCCCGCGAGAGTCCCCCCCCCCTTCCTCGGTCGCCCTCCCTCGCAGCGCGCGCGCCCAGCCGCTCGCCGCGCCCAGCGGCACCTCCTCCCCCTCCCCCCTGGGCGCGCGGGCGGCGCGGCGCCCGCGAGGGGGGCGAGCTGGGGCGACGGTGCCTGGCTTCCGGAGGGGGTGGGGCCTCGCCGCCGCGGCGGGGCGCCCCGGCATCGGGCCCGACGGTGGTTGGCCTTCGAGGGGGAGGGGGAGGGCGGGGGGGGGGGCACGCGCCAGCTTCGGGTCCGACGGTGGCTTGCTGCCTTGGGGGGATGGGCCCCGCCCTGCTTGCCATGGCTGGGCGCCCCGGCTTCGGGTCCGACGGCGGTTGGCCTTCGATGGCGGGGGGGGAGGCCCTCGTCGCCACGGCTGAGCGCGGCACGGCAAAAGCTGGTGCGCCTGGACCCCACGAGTCGTGGGTGGACAGAACCCCCAACAGTGACACGTCGATTAGTGAATTGTCCGTTTTCGGTTCTCGAGAGGGCGCCGTGGCCGTTATTTTCCAGGCTTGCGCCCGCCAGGTTTGGGCCTCAGGTCGTTTTCACTAAACCACGTTTTACTAAAGGGGGTTCTGTCCATCCCCGAACGAGGGGGGTTGGGGGGGCCGATTTTGAGCTGCTGTTGCCGGGCGGCGCTAGGACGAGGACAAGTCCGCTCCAGAGCGTTCCGGAGCGCTCTCAGTGAGCGTTCTCGAACGCTCCGAGAGGCGACCGCGGCGCCCGGGACATCCTCCAGCGCCGCCGGATCTCAGAGATTCTTGAGTTGTTCATCCTCGGCCGCATCGATCCTCGCCCTGGCGTCGTCTCACGCCGCCTCGGCTCGCCCTGCTCGGACCCCCCCTCCCCGCCGGCGGGCCTCCCCTCCCCGCGCGCGCGGCGCGGCGCGGCGGGGGCCGCCGCATGGCGCCCCACTACCGCGCCAGCGCGATCTCCTCGTCCGGGGGGAGGGGGCGGCAGGGGGGAGAGCGGCGGCGGCCAGCGGCAGCGGCCAGCGGCGGTGGCCAGCGGGCAGCGGTGGTGGCCTTGGCATCGCTCGGACGTGTGCATTCTTCCTTCGGCGAGGACCATCGAGGAGCATCCTTGATCATTTGGCGAAAAAGGCACGCACGAAACCGAACGAAAACACAGGGAATGGACGTCCGAGCGATGGCCAGTGGCGACCCTGAGATCCGAGGCTCCAGCAGAGAATATTGGAGCGGGCAGTTTGGGGCCGCTTTCGGTCGGCCTCCAGGCCGGGGGCCCTCGCCGGGCTTCGGGACCGGCGAAGCACGACGCAGGATGAGGAACCGGCATTAGGGGAGTGGTCCAGACTTCTGGGGCCCGCGCAGTTCGAAAGTTGGAGCAGCCGGATGTCTGGAGAGGGCGGGGGGGGGAGACGACAGAGGGGGACCAGAGCATACCCAGGATTCATCCTCGAGATTGACAAACCCTCCCTCCGAGCTCCCTCTTCACAGGCTTCATCCAAGGATTCATTTTCACTGAGGGGACTGTCCCGTTGGAAGAGAATTGTTTGAACATCCTGAACAGTACCAGAACACCGTTCCTGGGACGTCAACGCCGCAAATCACCGTTCCTGTTGCGTCCTGACGATCTCGAAACGTGCCAAACCACCGTTTCTGGGACTTCAACGCCTCTGACAGTCCGACATCATGTAACATATTTTTCTGGGACGTTACCCATGATAATCTTTGAACCTGCTGTAAACGCCTGAAACTAATGTGCGCGGCGCTAAGGCGAGAGCCACATTTGGAAAAGGAGCCGTCCTCGGCCTGTGAAACTCATGCGATTTTTGAAGAGACGACTGCGCGCGGCGCTAGGGCGAGAGCCGCATTTGAAAAGGAACGCCCTCAATCCAAGAAGCTTCTGCTGTTCAGGAAAAGGACTGGACGGGGAGGAGGAGGAGGAGGAAGAGGAGGAGGAGGAGGAGGAGGAGGAGGAGGCGGAGGCGGAGGTGGAGGCGGAGGCGGAGGCGGAGGCGGAGGAGGAGGAGGAGGAGGAGGAGGAGGCGCGGCGGAGGCGAGAGGAGGAGGAGGAGGAGGAGGAGGAGGGAGGAGGAGGAAGAAGCGGAGGAGAAGAGGAGGAGGAGGAGGAGGAGAGGAGGAGGAGGAGGAGGAGGAGGAGGAGGAGGAGGAGGAGGAGGAGGAGAGGAGGAGGATGAGTTGGTGTTGGAGGAGGAGGAGGAGGAGGAGGAGGAGGAAGAGGAGGAGGAAGAGGAGGAGGAGGAGGAGGAGGAGTTGGTGTTGGAGGAGGAGGCGGAGGAGGAGGAGGAGGAGGAGGAGGAGGCCGCCGCTCGGGCTGCCCCCGCTGTCGCCGTCGAAGCCATCGGCAGGTCGCCAGCAGGCAGGACCCCCGAGGCGCGCAGGCGACGCACCGGCGGCGCCGCTCGGGCGGGCGGGGCGCCAGCGTCCCAGGGCGTGGCGGCCGACCGCCGCGCCAATGGCCTCCAGAGGAGGCCTGCGCCACGGCCATCGGCAGCGCCGCCGCTGCCCGCGATGCCACCGCGCCGCTGCCGCCGCTTGGGCCTGGCGGGCCGCCGTGCGGCGCGCCCGCGCGCGGCGGCGGCTGGCCGAGGTCGCAGACGCCGGGCGACACAGCGGCGCCACCGTTCGCGCAGACGCTGCCGAGGGCGTGGCCGAGCGCGCAGCCGAGGGCACCGCCCCTGCGGCGCCGAGTCGGCATGCGCGAGGGCGCCTGCGCAGAGAGGGCGGGCTGGGGGCGCACGCGGCCGAGACCTTGCGAGAAATTGCTCCCCGGGCCGAGCCCGAGTGGCCATGTTGGGACCGAATGGTTACGGATGGTGATGGTGATGGTGATGGTGACGGTGTTTGTGTTGGTGACGTTGATGGTGATGTTGTTGCAGATGTTGTTGATGCTGATGCTGCTGGTGATGGTGATGGTGGTGATGATGATGGCGATACTATTGATGTTGCTGCTGATGCTGATGTTGCTGATGATGATGGTGGTGGATGCGATAACGGTGGTGATGATGTTGGCGATGACGATGGCGATGAAAATGATGATGATGGTGGTGAGAAGATGACGGTGATGATGATGATGGTGATGGCGATGATGATGCTCATGATGATGACGATGATGATGATGATGATGATGATGATGATGATGATGACAATGGCGATGATAATGATGGTGATGGTGATGACGATGGCGATGACGATGACGATGGTGGTGACGATGGTGGTGACAACCGTGATAGGGATTCCGATGACGACGGTGATGGTGATGGTGACGGTGGTGGTGATGGTGATGACGATGATGATGGTGATGGTGATGGTGGTGTCGATGCTGGTGATTGTGATGACAATGGTGATGACGATGGTGATGGTGATGGTGATGGGGATGTTGACGGTGGTGGGGGGTGATGACGGTGGTGATGACGATCGTGATGGCGATGGCGATGACGGCGATGATGACGATGGTGCGACATGCTGATGGCGATGGTGATTATGATGACGGTGGTGGTGATGACGATGACTACGATTGTGATGTTGATGGTGATGGTGGTGACGATAGTGATGACGTCGGTGATGACGACGGTCATGATGATGGTGATGACGAGGGTGATAGTGGTTGTGGTGATGGAGATGGTAATGGCGATAGTGATGATGATGACGACGACGATGATGATGATGATGGTGACGATGAGGGTGACGATGGTGATGATACGGATGACGGTGATGCTGACAGTAATAAATCTGGTGACGACGTTGATGCTGATGATGATGGTGGTGATCATGCTGATGACGATGGTGATGATGACGATGGTGATGACGATGATGATGATGATGATGATGATGATGATGATGATGCGGATGCTCATGATGATGAGGACGATGATGGTTGCGATGATGATAATGGTGATGACGCTGATTGATGGTGGTGATGATCATGCTGCTGATGATGGTAATGATTATGATGCTGATGATGATGCTGATGATGATGACGGTGATGACGGTGTTGACTTGCTTTTATGACGATGGTGGTGACGACGGTGATGACGACGATAATGATGATGATGATGATGATGATGATGATGATGATGATGATGATGATGATGATGATGATGATGATGATGATGATATTGGTGATATTGGTGATGGTGGTGGTGGCGGTGATGACGGTGGCGGTGATGATAATGTTCGTGATGAGCGGTGCTGGTGATGGTGATGACGATGGTGATGACGATGGTGATGGTGATGGTGATGAAGGTTGTGATGATGATGGTGAGAATGGCGATGGTGCTGATGATGATGACGACGATGATGATGATGATGATGATTATGATGATGATGATGATGATGATGATGATGATGATTGTGGTGATGGTGATGGCGATGGTGATGGTGATTGTGATGGTGATGGTGGTTGTGATGACGATGGTGATGACGATGATCATGATGACGATGCTGACGATGACGGTGATGGTGGTGGTTGTGGTGATAGTGATGATGATGGGGATTCGGATGATGATGACGATCATGATAAGGTGAGCCGCTCGCGCGTAGTCTGGGGAGAGAGGAGAGTACTACCCATATGGGGCACTTGCAGAGAGGAGAAAGGCGGAAAAACATGGGGAGAAGCAGGAGGGAGGAGGACGAGGAGAAAGAGGAGGGGAGGAGAAAGCAATAATAATAGTAAAAAGGAGGAGGAGGAGGAGGGAGGAGGAGAAAGGGCTGGAGGAGGAGGAGAAGGAGGAGGAGGAGGAGGAGGTGGAAGGAGGAGGGCGCGCGAGCTGGGAAAGGAATGCGAGGGAAATGGTGGGGGGGAGCCCGAGGAGGGGACAGAGAGCAGCGCGGGCGGGCGGAGGTGCGAAGTCGACCTCCCTCTGGGCCTCCGCGGTGG